AGAGACCTGCTCTCCTAGCTACTAGTAACCCTTATATACAAAAAGCGGCTGTCCTCAGAGCAAAAATGCCCCTTCTGTAACAATATCACCTGATGCCCAGTGCTAAAAATCAATGAATGCAGTTAAATGAATAAATTCAATAAATGATAACGTGTACAAAATAGTTTTTAGTATAACATGATAAATAGATCATCTTCAAATACAAATCAATAAATGAATAAATAGTAGCTAATAAAATTATCATCAATACAAAGTCTTAAAATATTTCAATCCAAAAGTGCAAAGCAGAAAGAACACTATGTTATCACTTTGTTGTGATTAGCGCTGGGCACTTTGTTTTTTATTGATTGTACCTACCTGAGCGGAGTGTGACTCTGCTGCAGTGTGAGACAACCAATGGGGGACACTGTGAGTGTGTATGCAGTCCACCAGCCAATCACTGGGGCTCTCATAGCCAGTGGTGCATGCTGGGGAATTGCTTATATACTCAGGGGAATTGCCATATAGTCAGTCCAGTTCTGGGATAGCTCAGTGTCCAGTCAGGGCTGGGTGCTGTCCAGTCTGCCCCCAGGCTCGGCCTTAGGGTGAAGGAGGCCTTTGCTACTGATTGAGGAGGAGAACCAGGGAAGCTGATGGCTTATAGAGGTGTCTGGAATAGAGTGGACCTCAGGAGCAGGGAGCAAGTCTGGTGTATCTAGTACTAAAGATTCTGTGTCAATCCCTATTCAACGTTTGCTCAAATACCCAGTGTCAGTGTGTGCTCCTATTGAATCTGCACTGGAATTCTGAAAGGGAATTGTAAGTCTGCAGTCTGTCTATTTTTCTCATCAAAGTCCTAAGCCCTCTCTCCCTATTCAAGAGTTCTAATAAAAGTTCTTGAACAGCATACCTTTGGCCTAGATCTCAGCTCTGTTGGTCATGGTAAGAGGGTGGTTAATGCTAGTGGGGCAGCTGGTTGCTAAGATCCCTAGACAGGCTAGAGATGACCTGGGTATTTTCAGCAGCTCCTTGGGGGGTGAGCACTACACTAATATTCTGTGACATAAAAAAACTGCAACTCCCACCATTTTATTCTTTGCTTTCAGAAAATATATACTTTGAGGTTTTTAATCAATTTTCAGGCCAAAAATGTGCATTTTAACATATGCACAAAAAATGCCCAAAAATAGCTCTGACAGGGTAAGGGTTAATGGTTAAAAGTAGATTTTTTCACAAAAGTAAACTGTTGCTTTCTTTAGCGATATATCAGGTAAGTGTTTCTGCAGACTTGCAAAGTTACTGAAAAGTCCACATTAAACAAACAAACAAGTGTGAAATATAAAATTGTCACCAGGGCAGACACTCTTGTTTACAGTATATCATAGCTGGTTAGGTTTAAACCAGAAAATGTTTTGCTCACATGGTAGAAAGCATGTGCCTTGCTGTCAGTCAGCATGATGCACTGTGTGAGCTAAGCCAACACATATAAATTTAAGGGGGTCAGAAGCTTGGTTGGAACCTAAGATGCTCTTTTACTGCAAGAAAATAGGTAAATAATTAACTGGTTATGTTTTGGGATTTAACAGCTTCTGATCATATGAAAATATCCATCTCTAGGCTACAGTCCTTTTTACTTTCTGATCACGATCAGCCAGTTATCCTCTTGCCTAGTTACCAACCGTATGTATAATTTCTATTTATTACAACAGGTGGAAGGCACAACAATCTAAATTATACAACAAGAACATCAATTATACAGTTGTACGCACTTTTGCCTAGTTAATACACAGGGACCTTGAATGGAAAGCAGTATTGTATCGATTAAAATTTTACATTTTTAATTATGAACGTTGACTGCAGTCCTCTGAGCCCTGGGGGTGTAAGATAACTCAAACTAGGTCAGAAAGGTCAGGATCAAGCAGAAACTCTAATAACATGATCCATTTGAACAGAAATATGGATTATTCCAACATAAAAAATAACAACTCTAGAACTTGTACAAGTAGCATTAAAGACATCTCCATAAGCAGCTAAAATGAATGTAGAGAAAAAAGTGACTTAGCAGTGCCATGGTATGGGAAAAAGTTTGTTGCCATCTGACCATCACATCTATATGAGCTTGTTGGGCATCCCATTCGAAAACCATGGACATTAATATGTTGTTTGCCTCCCCTTTAAAGCTACAGCAGCCTCCACTCATCTGAGGAAACTTTCCAAAAGATTTAGGATTATGAGGGGATTTGTGCCAATTCAGCCTGAAAAGCATTTGAGAGGTAAAGTATTGATGTTGGTTTTGATGTTGGACAAGAAGACCTCATCCCAATACATGCCACAAGTGTTCAGAAAGGTTAAGGTCAGGGATCAGTGATGGCCACTCAAATTCCTCCACACCAAACTTATCAAACCATGTCTTTGCACAGGGGCACAGTCATACTGTAAAGTGCCATCCCCAAAACTGTTGTGCTCAGCCCTGAAAACCCAGGCACTCTATTATGCAAATCCTGACCTCTGTTAATGTAGCTGAGTTCTAACCCATCCCTTATACGCCTTACTACTGGCTAACAAAGCCATTCATCATGGTTATGGAACACAAGTGAAGGGCAAGCAGAGGTACTGTCAATCTACTTACTTAGGGAACATACTAGAGAAAGATGTGACCTTTGACTAAGCTCTTTTCTTTTATTCAAAACATCCAGGATAAGTACAGACAATGTAATTTATGCATCATCCTGAAAATACCCCTTGCCTTAACTTAAGAGACAACCAAAGTTCTAGTCTGTGCCCTAATCATTTTACTCCTCATCTACCGCAACGTGTCTGCCATTTCACTATCAAGACTCTCACCTTATCATGAATGGAATTATATTTATACAGTTTTAAAATTCTTAAACAGTCTCATAAAATGTTCCTCTAAATTATATGTCCATCTTCCTGTCTTCCCAAGTCACCATTATAAGCATACAACACGCACAGAAATATATATATATATATATACATACACACACACATACACACACACACACACACACATACATACACACACAATTTCCTATAGCACTCTGTTCCTTCCATACTGAAAATGACGTTAATCTCATTTATGTGCAACAATTATAGATGTCACTGCAAAAATCTTTATTTTCACATAAGTTGTCATGTATTGTACTGTATAAAATGAGATTTGAGCTTAACTAGGACAGAATCTAAATCAAAATTCTGTCAGCATTTTAAATTATGCTGCAGGCAGAGCTAATGCAGGTATTTTGGATTCATCTGAGAGGCCTTCTCTGACAGGCCATATTGCTTGATAAGAAATATCCATTTTAATGTCACACATAATTTTATAGCTAAAAAGTAATATTTTGCTGTAAAGACCTTTAGAGAATATCATATTAATGACCTTAGGTTTAATGCAATAAACATCTGAAGTTTGGGACTGTAACGTGTCCAAGACTGATCTAAGAATTTGCAACAAAATATATGGGTTTTTTTAATCACAGAGTGTCTTGGAGACCCCAGTGGTGAGATCTTTACCGAAGATCACCTTATCTTCCTGCATGCTATAGTGTCTTATGCCTTTCTCCATTTTGTAAAATCAATGAAAAACATCAATAAGAATAAGACCGGTCCAAGAGTTAGGACGCCTCAGAATGGCTATGGAAGTTAGTAAAAGCTAATAATTGTGCAGAGAAACAAGAAGGCAATTAAAAATCTTTCCTGACAGTCCCCTCAAGTGGGCTTTACCCTCTGATGCTAAATGTAAACCCGTACCCATGGAAACTGCCACTGCCGACTCGTTTGTAAGGTGTGAGTTCCATAACCCTACTTGCTTTAACTTTTCAGCAAGCCATGGACTTGTAGCAAGCCTGTAAAATGAGTGATCCTGACCAACTACTGGCACTTTTTAGTTGTTTGGACATGATCCTTATTCGTGTTCAACAGTCCCTTTCATTCAATTTTGGTTTTGACCGCGGTTCTTCACTGATGAACTCTTGCTTTACTTTATGTGCTTACCATGGAGACTGTTGCTCTTGAAACACCAAACGATACTGGAGTTTACATTATTTTGTCTACCCCCTCTATATACTTACTCCAGGGCAGCAAATTAAGTAGTGAACCAAGGGCGACAGCCCTTTAATCTCCACTAAGTGATGACAGACTCTATACTTTCCAGTGGGTTGCCTTTTGTTTTATAATCCAGGACCTGACTGAGAAACAGGGGTTGATTTACTAACCTTATAAACACACCACGAACATGTATACACCTCTGTAGTGTGTTCCCTCCCAGCATGATCTATGGGTGGAATCTAAACACCTTTGTAGTGTGTACACACCCAGCAGGTGTGTTGTGCAAAGCCCCTGCATGAATTACAAGGTGATGTTGTGTAAATTAGCTCTATGTTGTGTTGCTTGCGTTGATGAATGCAGGAATGTAAATGCATGAGCTAACCATTTTTGTCTAAACTGTGAAGCAGCATTATATATGCATCATGTGCATGATTTTTCCATATATGGCATTAGTGGAAATATGCTTTAAGAGACTTTTTGGTTGATAAATACGTTTTGCTGTGTGAAAATCACACGCACCTGGTGCGTGCGTGTGTTTAGGTTAGTAAATCACCCCCACAGTGTCAAATCTTTGATGACAGCAGCCATTCTCCAACTCCAAGGCCACATAATAGTTTCAAAATTGTTCTTATTCAGGTTTACATGACTGCCCAAGAATTAGCACATGGCCTGGAACTAAGGGGCAGTTGCAGATGTTGGATCTCTGAAGCAGTTTTTTTTTTTTCAAACAGATATCAGCTCATGTGAGAGATACCATTTTAAAGGACTTAGATCCAGCACTACCACTTCGCAAAACAGAGCAGAATGAAAGAAAAGTGCTTGCATTTCTATTCTAAATTGTAGAGGTACAGTCTTGCCGGTTGAAATATTTATAAGTTTGTTAGAATAGTGAATCCTAGTTTTGTATATAAGTTATGCAATGTAGCCCAATACATTACATATGTTTTGACACTCACCAGCCTGAAGCCATATCTGCTCGAGAGTGATCCACTGCTGCATTGGCCCCTGCCTCTGAGCGCTGCTGTGCATAGTTATCTCAGACATAGCCTGCTCCATGCGTGATGCTGCAATAGATGATGCCCGCTGGGATCCTGCAAACAATAATTAAAAATTCAAATTCAATAGATAATAATATATATTTGACTGCTGCTAAACAATGAGGGCTACAAAAGAGAATAGCATTTACTAGCTCCAGGGTGCTCAGCCTATCAATAAAGACCCCAAATGGCATTCCATAGTAATTATTTTGAGATCACTAGATCCTAACAACTACTAGCTGAAACACAAATGCATCCAGTTTGCAAAAAACAAAGACAAACTTACAGATAGGGCCCCAACAATAATACAATTAATCATGTACTACATCATTAAACATTAGGATAATTATCTATTTTTTAAAGGGATTACTTTTACAGTGTTTCTTGATAATTATGCATACATACAATGAAATCTTTTTAAATATTCAATAATAAATATGAATGTTTCATATATACTACTTGTGCTCAGTAACTGATGAACTCCAAATGGTTGCAGCTGCTTCCCTAGTTAATTCTATAGCTATATTGTGATACAACATTAAAGATGGTTGGCAGATCAGATTACACAGACTGTAGAATAGGTCAATTGGGGATACCACCCCCCTTCCTCTTCCCTAGTAGAGATGGAACCCTCAGGTTTAATAGACATGGTTATTTAAGCATGTAGACAGTGCTGGGCTTACGTATTGAAAATCTTAGCATGGTTTCAAAGCTATAAAAATAGTATTTAAAAAAAAGGTTAATAAACTTGCAAACACGAAAAGGACCAAAATCATTATTCTTCCCTAAAAAAACAACTTCAGGCAAATAAATTGATGAAAAGCTACAAAATTCTGGTCAGGTAATCTTTAATCCCAGTTTTATATACTCCACAGCTGCAAGATGTTCACAAAGCTGTCAGGAAGGATTCAGGCTTTTTCCCAGCATTCTGTGTTGTGCAGCCTCCTCCCCTAATAACTACAGAGGGCGGAGCTAGGGATGCTTTGAATTTCATAAATAAGGATACTGGTAGCCATTGGCAGTGGATTCAAAGCTATCACTTCCTGGGGAAATGATTGGGATGAATGGCTTAGTGTAGCCTGGCAAACACAAGAGTGTGTAGTGTACTGAGCTGTCCTTTTCAGACCTAATGTCAAATGCTACAAATGATTGCAATGAGATCTACAGAATAAGGAATCCACATTTTCATATAATATAATGGATTACTAAATTATTTATTACTTATCTCATTTCTCTGTGAGGGTTATTCAATAAAATATCTGACAGGGCATAGTCCATTAATCACAGCTGCCAATCCAAATACTTGCTGCACTGGTCTGTGTTCAATAAAATGAAATCTGGTTGTTTGTTATGGATTGTTGCCCTTTGCACTGTTTACTGAACACCAGCATTTGCATACGGTTTCATTTTTTGGTGTCCATTGGGAAATGTCTCCATTATGTAATAAGGTTACCTTATTAGGGGCGTGTTTGGACACACTTTGGGCTTCTGCCGATGGGTACATTTCTGAGATCATTCACAGTTTACCAAGAGATGCATTTTGACCTGAAGTTGACCTCATTCTAAGCTGCATTAACTGCTTCAAGCTGCTTTTGCTTTCCCATTGACTTGTATGGGGGAGAATAAAATAAAAAAGCCTGTCCACACAAATCCCACATCATGTTTGTGGCCACCCTAGAGACTATGTCACACAATGATTTTGTAGCAGCAATTTGAAGCAGATACAAACCTTATCTCAAGTTCATTTTTTATTGCAAATCATTTCCTTTTAGTACAAGATATCAGTGCTGCAAAATGTTGATGCAGTGACTGTAAAGCTGACCACCTAATGGCTAATGAAGACTTCTGGGAATCTGCAAGTGTCGGCGGCGGAGATGGTGGCAAAGGTGAATGAAGATCGACCTGACAGCATTGGAGAACATCACACTTGTAAGGTAAGTGTCCCCTCATGTGTGAGTATGCTGTGCATACTTGCACATTAGGGCAACAAATTAACATTTACACAGCTGTTTACTTCTGCTTTAAGGATCAGGTGAAAGTGGCAACTTGTGACTGTGTGGACATGTACTGTAGCTAGCTATAAACCATTACATAAAAAACAAGGCGAGATTTCCGCCTGCTATAAATCCCTGCTATAAAATATTCCATCTAAGAGCTAAATGTGAGAAGCTGTTATGAAATCTGCCAATTCAGACTGAATAAGCATGCGTCTTATTTCTTTCTTTCGGTGCTCTAAATATCTGTAATACTATTGTACCTAAATATTACATTAACAAGATTTCTCCTCACAGCTCTGCTGAGAGCCTTACAGCACAGAACACGTGGGAAGAGCTGAAAGCCAGCAATTTAACCTACCTACTGAGCCACGATAGCACCGAGCAGCTGGGTTAGCAGCTGTTAATCTGATAAACACTGCTACCATTTAATTCATTGCAAACTTCTGACCTTTCTATGCATTAGGTTTGCTTTAGTTTTACTAAAAAGAAATATGACACAACAAAAAAGACACACATGGAAGAACAATATTGTTTTTGTTCATTTCTGGACTCTTAACAGATTTCCCCCGCTTTCCCTTTTATAAAAACAGTTTTCAGTTGGGAGATGGCATTTTTTAAATTAACCCCAGGCAGGTTTTCTGCCCACCTTTTTTTCTTTGTGTTTTGCAAACCACATAACTAAGTTTCTTATTCCTGGTATAGAATAGCTTGTCACCTATACCCAGGGCTTGAAAAATCCACTCGTCTGTGACGAGAGGACGGTGGAGCCCGACGAGCAGCTTCCTGGCCGGCCGTTGTAATTACACGGCCGGCCGGGAGCTTTACAGTCAAACGATCGAGCGTCTCGTATCAGTAGCTGTCACTGCCGTTGCCGGTCCCGAGATCCGCTGTACCCGATGCGGCCGGGACCAGCACGGTTCTGTGACAGGAGATCAAAGGGAGTTCAGTACACGAACTCCCTTTGATCTCCTCTCAGTCGCCGAATGCAGGAAGTGATGTATATTACATCACTTCCTGAATTCAGTGTCACTCTCCCAGCTGCAGAAGCTGATGAAGCCGATCTCAGATTCTCTGGAGGTCCCTAGGTGACATTAGGGGTCTTGGAGACCCCTGGTGTCTCCCTAAAGAGGACCTGTCATGTAAATTGGCTATCCCATAGGGGGCTTCTTCTCAGCTGCGGCGTCTCAGTATACTGAGCTTAGGGTGACGGGAGGACGCTAGTTTGTGTCCTCTCGTTACCCTAAGGAGAAATATGGGGAAAATCCCTAACCCCATAGTTCTCCTTTAATCACTGATAAGACTAAACTGATAAACAGTAAAAGCGTTTTAATCGTCGCCCGTGGGCGTTTTATGCGATTTTGCAGGCGCACGCAATTTTAAGGCTTGACATGTTTGGTGTCTATTTACCCGACGTGACCCCGACTTTTATGTTTTACTAAAAATATGGGTAAGAATAAATGTTTTATAACATAACGTAGGGAAACTTTTTAGTTTTTTTGTACATTTATGGTACTTTTTAAATTATATAGTAAAAAA